TATGAAACGCTGTAGCCAATGTGCATGTATTTTTACCTTCTCCTCTTCTGAACCCACATGTTGTAAGAAGAAATGTACATTGAATTAGAATATGGGGCAATGGCTTGTGAAATATCATGAGTTATAATTTTCTCTGGTTGCAGATAGAATGCAGTGGTAAAAAAGAGACTTCCTTTGCATCACACTGATGTGCATTTTCCAAAAGCTGTTTCAATATTGCATTGCCTTTCAGCCACATAAAAGGGTCAGCATTTTAATCACATTATAGCAGTTTTGATCTTTGAAAAATTTGAATTTAAACAAAATGCACATGACCTATTGTTTATTTAAAAATAATGGAGAAATAAAAGTATAGTAAAGCAGCAATTTCAGTGGCAATCACTTTGAGAGATCTCCCTTTCTCCATCCTGGGTTACAAAATAAAAACAAGATCTACAATTGTGGCTTCTTACCATTGTTTGGGTATATGTTTCATTTTGAAAGTCATCAAAAAATAAGTCCTTAGCAAATGATTTGAATATTTCATTTTAAAACAAATTATGTTAATGGTCTATCAGACACTAAACACAGTGCTGGCTAAATTTAATGTTTCTTTTTTATAATAATAATGTGATTCCAATATTTGTTAAGAATAAGGTCCCTGAATTTATGAAAAAGAAGGAGGATGAGGAGGAGAAGGAGGAGGAGGAGAAGAAGAAGAAAAAGAAGAAGAAGAAGGAGGAGGAGGAGGAGGAGGAGGAAGAAGAAGAAGAAGAAGAAGAAGAAGAAGAAGAAGAAGAAGAAGAAGAAGAAGAAGAAGAAGAAGAACAGAAAGAAGAACAGAAAGAAGAAGATAAATTGGCTCTGGTCCATGGCAGGCTAAGATGGAAGCACTAAGCTAGGAGGAACCTGTGGGGGAGGCTAGCGAAGGAAGGCAAAATGCATCCCTCCGGGAAATTAAGCTCATACCACCTCCTTTACTCCCAAGGATTGAATGTCAAACCCTACTCTGAGGCTGAATATTTATTTGTTTAAAGATGCAAGGACTGTGAGATCTCAGGATTTGGAGATGTCAAATTTCTAGTGTCTAGTAAATACGGGATTCACATCAGGAGTTCCAGGTTGACAAGAGTAAAGTTGAGAGCTGGATACCGTTACAGCAAAAAGGCAAAGGCAGACATTCTTATCTGAACATCACTAGGTTAAGAAGTCCCATGAACAAACATAATGACAGTAGCCAGCAGGGCTCCATTTGATGTTCACTTCTTCAAGGAGGCACCCAGGGTCTCTGTCTTCTTGTGGTCACCTCTGTTCTGCTATTCCTAGAAGAAAGGCCCTGGCTATCCAATCAGATGAGCAAATGTTCACAGCACTGAGCCTCATTGTCAAACTTCCCCCTGTGGCTTGTAGATTGTCCCCAGACACCCAGGTTCTGGGGACAGAAGAGTAGGACCACATGGAACAGTTTACTTAATGATAATGGAAAGTCTTGGTACTTCTCTCTGAATCCTCTGCTCCCCACCCCCAACACCATAGTCTTTCTCCTATTTAGATAAGATGCTCACAGAGGGGTGCCAAAGACACCAAAGATTTAGTGTCAGGAGAGAGTGGTGTTTTTGATGATGAAGAGCTTCACATAACTGTTAAGTATTATTATAATTAGGGAGCTAAGCAGATACATTTATCTTGCATCTACTAATTAAGCAGGGAAGTAAATTAATTTTTCCCTATCCATGCTCATTTTGCATGTTGGTTATTTTTATATCCAGTACAGGGAGCGAACCTTATCTCTTTCAATATGGATTATATATGCTTTGCAACTCTGTCCAGCCAATTTAGATAAAACTAGATCCACCCCAGAGAAATTTTACTTGGGGTGGGGGAGGCTGCCTTGTCTAAGTGAGTTATAAATAGCTGGCAAATAAATAGAAAGTCCCAGCTGCTGTTAGGAAAAAAAAATGCTGCTGTATAATTAGTGTGAGTCACTGTCCTCTTGGTTGAGAGTGTGTGAGCCAGAGAAGGAGGAGGGACAAGGGGGATTTGGGTTGGGCAGGAGAAGGCTTCAGTTGGGAGGACAAGTGGGTCTGGGTCTGGGTATTGTTTGCTCTCTGGTAGGTTTTCCAAAGACAGACAGCTTAGAACAACGGGGACCCCAACGATCTCTGGCTCTTTGAAATAATTCAGGAGAAAAGTAACATTGATATTCAATGAATCCCCCTAAAGGAGACACTAGGTTCAACTGTGCTGGTATATGTCTATGGCCCTCTGCTAGCTTAGTCTACACAGTGAGTTCCAGGCTAGTCAGAGCAGCATAATTAGTTCCTCAGTGTATCCACAAAATACACACTGTCTGCTTTTCACATTCTCTTTGAGACCCTATTCTCCTAGGAGATTCGGTTGTAGCCACTCTTTAGTCTTCCCAGTGTTTCCCCCAGTGCGTTAGCTTCTGAGAGGCTGGTGCTTGGTTCTTAGTGGTATCTCGGTTGAAAAGCTCCATTATCTGTTTGGTCAGGAATCAGTTTCCCCAGTAAAGGCAAAGTTGCCTAGGTGTGTGCAAAATCTGCTCTACTCTGAGATGTTACTGGAGTACAGTGTCAGTTTTAGTTATGGGATATCTATCACCCAGTTGCTCTATTCATCCTTCCTATGCACCACCTGCATCACTATTTTACACACACACACACACACACACACACACACACACACACACAGTCCAGCTCCTGAAACCAGTCCGAGTTTTGTTACTTTGCCTTAAGGCTACTGGTTAGTCATGCCATCCCTCTTCTATCATTGCTGTGTCCTGCAAGAGCCCTGGAATTTTCCAAGACTGGATTCAGAGAAGGCAAGGGACAGGTGAGATAGTTACTGCATGGAATTTAAACAGATGTCAATTTTAGTGTGAAATTTATTGAAGTACCTGGAAGCAAGGGCCTCCTTAAACCATGTGCTTTGGGTGCCTGACTTGCTTCACCCTAGTTTAAGTCAGCCTTGGGTTCAGGCATTAGTAATTAAATGAGTATCCCACATTAAATAACAGTCTCCCATAGATGTCCAAGTACAAGCACTTGCTCCTGTAAATAATCATGTATATGTATGTATACACACACATATGTTTATAGATGTTAAGTTGCATAACAGAGATGGAGATATTGCCTGCATTCTTTGGGTTGCCCTAAATACAGCCACAAGTATTTGGTGATGTTGTATGCTTATATATATGTAAATGGATGGAAATGTTTATTCATGCCTATGGAAGTCAACAGTCAAACTTAGGTTGTTCGTTAAATGCCATCCACACTGTTCTGCGAGACAAGTACTTTTCTTGGTCTCGATCTAAATTTGTCTGATTGGGGGCCCAAAGGATCCTCCTCTCTTTGCTTTCCAGCTTGGGGTTGGAGATACATGCTGCCATAATTTTTATGTGTATTTTGGGGATCCCTGTCTGGTTCTTTTTCGTTTGTTTGTTTGTTTGTCTTTTTTTTTTTTCTCTTCAAGACAGAGTTTCTCTGTAGCTTTGGAGCCTGTCCTGGAACTAGCTCTTATAGACTAGGCTGGCCTCAAACTCACAGAGATCCACCTGCCTCTGCCTCCTGAGTGCTGGGATTAAAGGTATGCACCACCACCACCCTGCTGCCCTGTCTGGTTCTTAGTCTAGTATGGCAAGCACTTTAGCAGCCCATTCATAGATGTTTTAATAGCAGGGAGACTAAGAGATGCTTGGCTGCAGGAAGAGGAGAGTGTGGGAAATATCATGAACATAGTATAGAAAGAATGATTTAAAGAATAAGCTGTCCGCTTTGAAGATGAACGGAGCCACTGAAGTGAGGACAGATAAGGCAAGAACCTGCTTTCTCCAATAACCTCTGCTATTGCCTCTTCTAGGCTCCCCAGAGGCCATTCTTGGAATCCATACTGTTACGAGAATAAAAGTATTTCTTTCTGCTTTAAATAACAACTTTGGGGTACCACCGTCACGCAGCCCAATTGTGGTGCCGGAAATGAATATAGCAAGCCAGCCTTACCCCTCCACCTTTAACTTCTCCCAAGCCACCTTAGAAGCTTTGGACAAACACTCAGAGAAATGGGCTGGAGGACTGTGGGCCACTCAGCCATAGTCTAGTTCTCGGCTTCCCCTCTGACTCTGTTTTCCAAGCCATTAGCCAGACATTTGGCTTCAGTTGCTCCCAATCTTAGGGTTGACACAGGTGGTGAGTTTGGAAGGCCCAGGAAAGGAATCTTGGTAAATAGCACAAGGCGCTTTAATTCCACAGGGGCAGCAAACAAGACATTTTCTACACTAAGACATTTATTTGATAAAAGAAGGCCAGATCATTTCCAATATGTAGATTAGTAAACAAAGTACAAGAGGGTTAATTTATTTGCTCAGCTCTCATATCATAACAGAAATTCTTTTTTCCTCCTAACCTTTGTTTTTCTCCTTCAAATAGGGAATTCAGAGCCTTCCCCTGGAGCTTGCGGGATCTGAAATTTAATGGCTTCCACTTACAATAGCCTTGAACTAGCGGACATTGAGCCCTAAAACCTTCTACCAGAGTGGTCTTTTACCATATAGACAGGGCTCTCTGGGCTGTGGGGAATCCTCTGTGTGAAGTGGCCCTGGGCTCTCACCTTGCTTCCTGTAGCTGGTCTCCCATGACTACCTGCTTCTACCTGTGTTTTGACACATGCCTGTTCATCTTTCATGGATCAGACAGACACATTTGCTTTGTATGTGCCCTCTTTACCTGCTCAGCAAGACTGAATCCCAAGTACCCAAGCAGCCAAACTTCAACCGATACCCTATAGGCAGAACGAGGGTGGCTTCTGGGTGCCTAAGGTTCTTACACTTCTTGCTTTCTCCCTCACCATGGCATGGAATCTATAATTTCCCAATTCTGTGTTTTAGACTTTAAGTGACTGGGCTTAGTGCCTGGTCTGGGAAGGTCACTCAATAAATGTTTGTTCAATGAGTGAATAAATTAATACATAAATATAATAAAGCAGAATGTGATTATTTCTAGGAAATTAATTCTGGTGTCTCTGAGGAGCACCATCGAAGGCTTGCCCCTGGGGTGAGCTAAAGCTGAAGAGAATGCTTTGGAGGATAAATTCCAGGCTGACCCCTTGGAAATGAGGTGAGGGAGTGCTACGGCGATTTTTCCTTCTTGGCTTTTATATTTCATTTCAGTAACCACATCCCATCTCGCCCACAGTGGAGCTGTATGTCTTGCCGAGCACATCGCCTCAGAATGAGTGCACCTGGGAGATTATGCGGGGAATTGAAGATGAACATCAATTTACTTGGGCCTGAAAATAAAAGTTTCATGGCAAGAAAAATCAGTAATGCGAATCTTCCTTCGAACTCGGAGGTAGACGGATGGGCCCGTCTAAGTAGTGGCTCTTAAAAAACAGAATCCAGGGAGTCGGAGAGAGGATTTTGACCAGTGCCTGGTGGGGGTAGGGGTGGGGAGAAGAAGCCTGAAGAAGACACAACTCAGACAGCGCCGCCTTCTCCCATCCTTCTACTGCATTTCTCACTGTCACTCTGAGGTCGACCCGAAGAGTACATGACTCAAGAAACTCAGAATGTCCCTTAAGCCTTTCATCTTAATGATTATATGTCTCTCACGAAAGACGCTTCAATTTTTAAAGCTACTGAAGACCTGAAAGGTGTGAGTTGAAGAGAAAAGGGCTAGCGGACTGAGGAACAGGTTTCAGTTTGGTTGTAGAAAAACAAGCTCACAAAATATGTTTGACTTGAGAATAAGTCAATATCATGAACAGTGTAGGGTTTTCTACCTCCTCATTAGTGAAATACAGAGAACGAACACGTGTAAGTCGGAGAGAGTAGAAACAGTCTGACCTCTGGGATCAGAGGATACTTGGGCCCCATCTCAGCCTTGTTTCTTGCTAAGTGACAGGGTGACAGATGTGGGAGTGTCATCATATTTGACACACGTGGGCCTAGATCATAAATCATTCTTTCCCATGATCACTTGTCTACCAATTCAGGTTCAGAAATACTATTGATACCATTGTCTAACATGCTAATGGTTTATTATATGTTTTATTATTTTAAAGTCATAACATCACCCTCCCTGACCATTTCCCAGGAATTTAATTGTAAATTCTCTGGTTTAAATTACAGAGTTGCTGCAAACGTTTTCTATGTTCTTTCACACTGTTCTTCAAGCTTAAATTATAGACTTGCTTTTCCTTTGTACTTCTCTTTTTAGGTCTGAGGACATTGAGGGAAAATATTGAGAGTCATGCCTGCAGGTCGCTGTCATTGTCCCTGAAATAGTTTTTGAATCCTACTATCAGAAAATAATGATCTTGGGGTTGAGGAGATGACTAGCAGGTAAGATCACTGGCTATTCTCCCAGAAGCCTCTGTGCAGGTTCCAACATCAACATGGCAGCTAACAATTCTTTGTTACTCTAGTTCCAAGGAATCCAACTCCTTCTTTTGAAATCTGTGGGCACCGGACCAGCATATGACACAAGAATGTACATGTAGGCAAAACACCATATACAAAGAAAGTAAAATAATATAAAGAAAGGAAATAATGGCCTATAGATGCACATGTGTGCACACGCATGTCCACTGTGAGCTTATGTTCACAAATAAACACAAGCACTGTGAGCAGATGTGTGCAGATCTGATAAGTGGCTTTTTGGGCAGTGTCAGCCTCTAAGCAGTCACCATGTAGCTATTATCTTTCCTTCTCTGAAAATCCTTGATAATTTGAAAGTAGTTTCTTATAAAAAAAACTGTCACTTCTGACACTGATGCGATTCGTCAGTGAACTGTGTGACAAGGAGCATATCTGCACTCAGACAGGCTTCAGGAAGCAGTGGGCTGATTGCAAGGAAAGGGGCCATTTTAGAGAGTGTAAGTATGGCTATCTTGGTCTCCAGTCTCTGATCTGGGGTAAGATGGGACCCTTTGTGCCTGGACTCTCGTAACTGCTACAAAGCCAGTCGCTTCCCTAGCCCCTGTGGTTTTATCCCCATATCTTTGGCTTACTTGCATAAGGTATAGTTACAGCCATATTTTGCATAATCTGGTTCTGTCTGCAATTACATTATACATCAAAAATCAAGTCACTCTTGTTTTTACAGAGCAAAATAAAATGGAGAAAAGAATTTTCTTAGGCTGTGAAGGGCGCATCTGCTGTGGACGCACAAGGTCAAGGCTGGAGAGAATCTTATTTTCTGTGTGAATCCATGGCTGTTTTGCATTTTGAGTATAGAAGGTAAAAGTACATGTTCCAACCTTTTCAAAGTATTGGAAGTTTCTAAAAAGAACTTTAAACATTGCCCTGAATCTTTGATCCATAAATTCAACTAGCAGACGGTGAGGTAAGATCATTTTGATCTGAATTCAGAAACAAAATAGTCACAGAAGTTTTGAATGGAACATTTATAAAAATATAAGAGCAGGTTAGATGATCCCTTGATGCAATCTGTTTCCTTTTACAAATGTTCATAAACTCTTAAATTATTTATGAGATTTTATTAGCATGTATCAATTGTATGAAATAATTTCCATTGTAAAATTACTATAAAAGTATGTAATGTAATTATACCTTAATCTCTATAGTTAACATGCAAAAGTAAAGAGATTCATTATGTCGGGGTAACTCTAACCAAGGAAGTGAAAGATCTATTTGACAAGAACTTTAAAGCATTAAAGAAAGAAATTGAAGAGGATACCAGAAAATGGAAGGACCTCCCTTGCTCTTGGATTGGGAGGATCAACATAGTAAAAATGGCAATTCTACCAAAGGCAATTTATAGATTCAATGCAATTCCCATCAAGGTCCCATCAAAATTCTTCACAGATCTTGAGAGGACAATAATCAATTTTATATGGAAAAATAAAAAACCCAGGATAGCCAAAACAATCCTATACAATAAAGGATCTTCTGGAGGCATTACCATCCCTGACTTCAAACTCT